TTACTTGACATATATTTGTCTGCTTTTACTTGTCTTTGTTAAGATTCAGGAGAACAGGCACTTTGTTTTGCTCACTGTTTTAGTCCCATCTTCTAGAACAGTGCCTGGAACGTAGTAGGAGCTGAAAGATATTTGTTGCTTAAATGAACATGCTTTTTTGGAAGGCAGCAGCCAAAGCTGAAATTATGAGAGTGAAAAAGGTCACTCAGGAAGAAGGGGGACAGTAAAAAGGAGAAGGGCCAAGGACAGACCCTGGGGTACGTGGGCGTTTAATATCAAAAACAGGAAATAGAGCAGAAAGCTGGGAGCCAAGCTTTGGTGCAGCAGCATAGAGACCCACTGAGGAGAGATTTTTCACAAAAGGAGGAGGCATCAAGAGTAAACATCAGAGATCATCTAAGATGAAAAGACTGAAAAGTCCGTAAGATTTGTCAATTACAAGATTTGTCATTGATGTTTTTGGTAAAAGTAACTTAAGAACACTGTGCAGAGTAGCGGTCTCCTTGCTTAGTGAATGGTGGATGAAAAAGTGGAAAAAAAATGTGTGGATTGTTTATTCAAGGATTTGGCCACACAGGAATGGCCACAGAGGTATACAGGTCGAAAGAGAGTGTGCGTTTCTGTTTCTCACTCCCTGTGTCTGTGTTGTGTAAGATAAAAAGGATTCGAGCATAATTTTATGTTATAGGAAAGGAGTCTGTAAGGAGATGTTGAATATACAGGACTGGGTAATCATAGCCAAAGGTCATGGTCCTAGAGGAGTTAGGATAGACTCAAGAGCGGGATGGTTGTGCCCCCCCGCCCCCCGTCCGCTGAGACCAGGAGGAAAGATGAGAGTGGGGCTGGCGTAGAGGCCTGGGTTGGAAGTTGAGGAGGTTCATACATAAGAGCCTCTATTTTCTCTGCGAGTCCAAGCGAAGTCATTTTCTAGTGGTGAGGCAGGACTGGGTAAAAAGTGTAGGAGGGATGGTGAAGGTTGGAGTAATTGCTGTGGGAACTAGAATTGAACAGTGGCATCAAATGGTCCCAAATCAGGCATAATGTTAAAAAAAAAAAAAACTTCGGGAAGCAGGAATGCTATATTGGTTCTATGATGAGCTTTAACTCACCTACTCCCTCTGTTTATCTGCAGACCCTTCTCATTCCTGTCATGAGGCACATATTAAAGCTGCAGAAGCTTAAAAAACACAAAAACTCTTTCCTTGCTGTTTTCTAAGGCAGCAAAGCTGTAGGAGCAGCTGCAATAGAAACACACTCCCAGAGGCAGGCAGGGCTGGGAGGAGGCCCGAGGGAGCCCGCTAATTAGCAGAATTAACTCTGATCATCGTAAGAGGCAGCAGGGTGGAAAACACTTTGGTCTAACTCACACAACTCTCTGGTTGTGCTTAATTAATGGCAGGATCCCAAGGAATGAACTCGACAAATAACCCACTAAGTCTTTTTGGTCTGTGTAACAACAAAAGCAAACAAACCAACAAAACACAATTCCAGGTCTGGAGAACAGAGGCATCTCATGAGAGACGTGGCTTATCACCCTGTTCCCAGAACTAAATCAGATCCCAGAGCCAGAGCCTGTTGAATGTAGCCAAATATTTTTTTTTTTTAAAGATTTTATTTATTTGACAGAGAGAGACACAGCGAGAGAGGGAACACAGCAGAGGGAGTGGGAGAGGGAGAAGCAGGCTTCCCGCAGAGCAGGGAGCCCAATGTGGGGCTCAATCCCAGGACCTGGATCATGACCTGAGCCGAAGGCAGACGCTCAATGACTGAGCCACCCAGGCGCCCCTGTAGCCAAATATTCTTAAGGACGCTGCTGAAACGCTGTCCCTAAGCCCTGCAAACCTTCGTCCTGGCTTCTCCCTAAAGGCCTTGTGATCCTTTTAGGATAACTGCTCTGAAGAAAAGGAAGTACCTACATTTTTCAGTGACTATAACTTACTAATTCTAAACTAATTTCTGGGACCCCAAATGTCACTTTGCCATCAGCATTCTGAGCTTACAGGGGTTAGGTGATAAATGAATTGAATTCGGGCCCAAGTTCACCTTTGGGTAGGGCAGGTGGGACTCTGAGTCCATCCTGTGGTTATGTACGCTACTTGCCAAGTGAAGAGCTGGAATAGGAATCCAAGTGACAGAATTCCTGCACTGGCACATTCACTCACTGAGCAAGGGCTATTCTGGTAGGAAACGCCAAGTGGAGGACAAAATAATACCTTAAAAGCACTGTCACATACCAGGAGAATTGCAGAGGTGAGTGTCCCCATCAAAGGTGTGAAGGATGCCAGGGTGATTATTCCCACCTCATTCCCATTCACTTCCCAGGTTATCTACCACAAAAGACAGTGCATTATTGGAAACCCAAGCAAGTGATGACTCCAACTCCAGCTACTCTTCCAACAGGGTCTCCTTACCCAAGTAACTCAAACAGCTCCTGACACTTGATTTGCACATTATTGGTCTGGGATTTAGCTCCAGAATATCGTTTTAAAGATCTCCTTTTTCACTTTATGACTGATACCTTTCTAGATTCAGTCATAAGTTTTATGTTTTTATTGACTATCCCTTTTTGTTCTATCTTTGTTCATGTCTGTATATCCATTTCTTCACTTTAAAGTGGGGATAATTGTATCTCTCAGAATAACTGGGAAGAAAATTAGATAATCTTTGTGAAGAACATCGAGTCAGTGCTCAGTATGTGGTAGCTGTTATCTCAGATAATTGGGGATGAGAATCTGGGATACTTTTTTTCAACTCATTGTTCATTTTGCAGGAGTTATTGTCAAGTTACTTAGTGAGATGATAAGCTTTCTGAATCTTACATGTCTACCGATGTCTTTTCTTTTTCTGCATGTAATGCTGATTTGGCTGGATAAAGGATTCCAGTTTCAGCTTTGAAGATAATGCTCCATTGAAAAATCCAATGGCAATCTCATTTTCATTGCTTTATAGGTAATCTCTTTCTATATAAAATCTCTTGATTCCTTTTCTCCTAGGCTTTATCTAGGATGGGATCTTTTTTCATTAGTTATTCTAAGGACTCAGTGGGCCCTTCTAATCTGAAATGTGTTTTTCTTCACATCTGGGACATTTTCCTTCTTTTTTTAACTCCCAAACCTCACCACCATTCTTTCTGATTCATTTTTCACCTCTCATCACTTTCATTTTTGTTGCCTTGTCCATTCTACTATAAACCCAGAAATCTTTTCTATGATGTGTCATTCAGGGATTCCTCAATATACCTGGCTCACTGATGGAACCTATTTTTCCCAGAGCTTTTTTTGGATTTAACATGTCATGGAATTTTAGATGGAAAATAAAGTACAGGTGTGTGCACAGGTTTTCTTCTTAATTCAGATTCCTTGGTTATGTTTTGGTTTGTCGTGTTCCTTTAATTAGACATTTTGAGGTCTTTATGCCATTCCTATTCTGTATCTCTTAAACATTTTTTCTGGTTTTCAAGGACTTTAGAAAATTGGCTCATTCTCCTTATTCAGTAAACACATCCCCAGGTTATTTCTTCAAATACATTCTCTTTAGTTTCCCAGCTCGTTTGTCTCCAGTGGCACCTGGAAGGTTCTTCACATTCATTCAAGAAGCTCTCCGTGCCCCACCTGCTCTCTTCCGGGAGCCCAAGTTGCATCTGGCTCTGCAGTGATTCTCCACCAAGCTTCAGGATCGCCTCTAATTTTACCCCAACAGCGTTAGGCTTGATGAATCAGAATCTCTGCGGATCAGACCTGGGTATCATACGGGTATCATTCTCTCCCCCCTGCCCCTAACTTCAGTAAGCTCCGCAGGTGATTCTGAGGCACACCCAAGTTCAGAACCTCGAGGGGCCCCCTCCCCCTCCTGCCTGCGCATCGCTAGGGCGGACGGCTCCCTGTCCTCGCCCCTACCCGGCCGGGGAGGTGGTCGGAGAGGTTCTCGAACTGCAGCCCCACCACGCGTCTCCCAGCCACGTCGGAGGAGGTAGGCGCCGGCGATCCCCCGAGGGAGCCAACGCTGCCCGAGAGCACGGTCTGGTGGCCCTGCGCCGCCCGGTCCCCCAGCCCCGACCCCTGAGCGGCCGGCCCTGCCCAACCGTCCCACCGGCCGCGCGCCGCCGGGGCTGGACCGCTGCGACGGGTCGCACGCCGCCCGCCCTCGGGCCCTGGTGCGCAGGCGCGCGGGCGCCTTGGCGCTGCTCCTCCTCGGCGGCTGGGCGGGAGAACCCCTTTGACTCTCCCGGCCTGCAACGGCAGCGCCCGCGCTGTGGGCCACACGGGTGAGGGGCGGCGCTCCGCCCCGCGGCGTGGGCAGTCGGCGTCGCGGGAAGGAGAGCTGCTCACACTGCTTGGGGCGGGGAGAGACGTTGGGGACGGGGAGAGGACCCCTTCGCCCCGGCAAAAAGAAGGTCGTTGACTTGGGTAAGAGGAAGCGGGCGGCCTCCCCGTGGTCTGGGTCGGAGCGGGTATGCTAGTGCGAGGTCTTCACCTGGAGCCGCCTCCGTGCGCTGGGGAAGGCGGAATTGCGTCTGCCTACTTCCCGGGCCTTCTCCCAGCGTCGACGAGGGATGCTGTCTGATGCGAAGTTTGCGGTGTAGGCTAAGACCCCAAACAAACCCTTGTTAATGCTTCAGCAAAACAAAACATGAAATCCAACCAGCCCGGAACTTGGGACTTCGCACACATTAGCCAGGGGCGGTGATTTCTCAGGCGTGCAGGTTAATCAACACAGGTTGAGATTTAGAGTTTTAATTGTGTGAGGGCTTTGCGAAATGCAGCGTTTCAGAGAACCCTCACGGTTTTGCTTCTGCTTTATCACCTTTAGAATTCGCTTCTTGGGTTATATTCCACTATTGATCCTTTTAACACCCCCCCCCCCCCCCCCC